CAGCCAAGGTGGGCAACCTGGTCTCCTGCAAAAAGAAAATATCAGCTTCCATCCCACTGATCAAAAATAAGGCTGTTTCTCTAGCACTTACAGACTTTATGCTGGCAACATTAATGGTTGCCACCTTTATCGGAGCGGGAACTGCCATTAAGATAATTGAGAGGGACGTTTCTTCTTAATCCTCCTCTTGACTTTCTTGGCAGGGTCCCTCACTCTCTTAAGAGACCCCCCCCCATCCTCGTCCTCCATCGGGGAAGCGGGATCACTTGACCCCTCCTCCTCCCCCGACAAAGCCCCAAACCTATTCCCCAGGGCCACCTCCCCCGCCTCTAAAGAGGACACCGACCCTGCTGAGGACAAAACTGGCTTACTCCGCCTACCCACCAGGGACCACCCCTCCTCCACCCGAGCCCCTACCGGAGCAGAACCTTGGGACTCACGGGACTCCCTACCGGGCCTCCTACTCCGCCGCCGCAGCGGCAAGAGCAAGGGGGGAGCAGCAGACACTGAGGGACTAGACCTAGCCTCAACCATCCCGGCCCCTTTAGCAGCCTCCCTCAGCTGTTTCTTAGTCCTGGGAGGAGGAACCGGCACACAAGGGGGAACAACAGGGGACTCCAAAGGGGTAGACGAAACAGGGGGGACAGAGACAGGAGGGGCCACAGAAACCTCCCCTTCCCTCACAAGGGCCGCCACAGCAACCGAAGCCGCTCTCTCCAATGCCGCCTCCGCCTCTTCAGCATCTACCCGATCCAACTCTGCTTCAAGCTCCCCCACCGGAAGGTTGTGGAGGGCCTCCGGGCACTGGTTGTATGAATGCCCAAGCTCCCCGCAGAGATTGCATCGGACAACATTGCAGTCCCTGGCCAGGTGTCCCTATTTCCTGACACAGGGAACATCTAATGACGGGGCAGGTGGCCGCAAAATGCCCCTTGCCCCCACACCGGTGGCAGACCCTCGGCTGACCCGCATAAAAAATTATCAGGCGGTCCTTCCCTAGAAAAGCGGAAGAGGGAATGTGCTGGAGCACATTTCCAACCACCTTTAAGCGGACGGTGGTCGTCCACCCACCTGTCCATATTCCCCTCTCATCCTTGATCTTCCCAAGGGGCCCCATCACATCCCCATATCTGCTTAGCCAGACCACAATATCTGATGCAGGGATGGATTCATTTCTCACCAGCACCGTTATTTTTTTTAATCAGGGACTGGCGAGAGACGAGCCTCGGGGTTAGGCCCACCCACCTAGGGCTGGTGACAAAGGTGGCCTCATACCTCTGCCAAAAGAGGTCCAACAATTCTGGCCGCATGAAGGACACGTCATATTCTCCAGTACCAACAACTGGAGCAATAAACGCAAAAATATCTGCGGCATGGAAGCCCATTTCTAATATGCGGTCTATGACCTCTCTCCTGCTAAGGGGGGGGCCCTCCCCTGACCATTTCAACTGAACAACATTTCGCCTTGCGGCGGAAGTGGGTAGGTTACCTGCCCTTGCCCGGGCCGATCCCACTGACCCCTGACCTCCCCTAACTGCAGCAGAGTAACTGAGCCCCGATCCAGCCCCAGGGGCACTCAACATCAAGGGGGCATGACCAGGGGAAGCCGCCCACACCAGCAGCAGCAACTGAAGGGGCAGATGCTGATGAGCCATGACCTGGGGGAGCCCGGGGCTGGGGACCACCCATACCAGCAGGAGAACCCACCTGAGCCGGACCCGCAGGAGCCTGGACCTGAGAACTTGGAGCCCCCTGAGGAGAAACCGGGGGACCTGCTGGTTGCACACCAGAGGCCACCATGCCCCCCAAAGGGGCGGGGCCCAGTGGGACCACCACCGGAGGGGAAACACCCTTAGCCAGGACTGTAGGGCTAACCTGCAGCTCAGACAATTTTGCAGGCATTATACCCGCTACCCCAGTGTCCAGAACCATCTCACCAACACAATCAGCAGAGTCCTTCTCCCCTTCCAGTGGCTCCCCTGCCTTTGCCAACACGTCCTTGGGGATGCGTTGCAGCATGACAAAGGCAGCATGCTCTTTCACCACCGGCTTAGCCGGCTTGCGGGGGATGACATCACTTTTCAGCTTCTTCCTCTGAGTCCTCGGACGTAAACCTGAAGTCGGCTCCACGCAGCTCTGCAACCGCCTCTGCCAGGAACTGCAATCCGCCCTATCTCCTCCTCCTCCACCTGGGTCCCCCAATCCACAGGCAGCTGCCCAGGGGGGAGGGACTCTGATGATCCTGCCACCACGCTGCTGTCTTCCATGATAGACGCCATTTCCTCTGAGGGTGCTGTGGGCTCAACCTGCCCCTGCTCGCCTTCCACCAGCAACTCCCCCGACAATTCCTCCACCGAAGAGGCCTCCTCCACCGGACCCCGCATCGCCGCAACACTGCGGCTTCTTGCAGCCTTAAATCTCGCTTCATTCAGATACTTCTCGCTTAGGACGCCGCTCTGGCGCTGCAGCGCCGCCACATACCTCCCCTGCTGTGACACACGAAGTTCCAGCGCCTCCAGGTCCGGTTTCATGGCCTGCCGCTTAGTAGACCATACACGGTCGTAGGATGACCGGAGCTTCTTTAGCTCCAGAGTCAGCTTCTGGAGCTTGGCTTCCTCCTTCTCTATTAACCTGGCCCGAGCGGCCACACGGTCCCGGTAGGCAGAATAAACTTCCCCCTTCCTAGGGGCCATTCCCAGGTCCTCTACTGGTGGAAAAGAGAGGCCGGTACTAGGCCCCTCCAGGGCCTTCTCCCCGCTGGACCCAGGCCCAGGATCCGCCATCCTGCCTGGGCTGGGCAGGGCACTTTAGCCCCAGGCTTCTCGGGCCTTTCTGGAGCTCAGCAGACAAGTGCAACACACCCTCTCTCAGGAATGAATTCACCAATAATGGTGGGACTCAGCTGCCTTGTGATCTGCAGTACCAGGGCTGGCCAGCGGGTGCTCCCAGCAATCAGAGACTCAACCTTTCAGCCAGCTAACACCTGGAACTGATGATACTGGTGTATTTAAGGGATGGCCAGACTTGCAGACTCTGCCTTGGTTGTGTTTGTCCTGGGCCCTGTATCTGTCCTGCATCCTGTTTCTCTGTTCCTGCTGACTTCTCTGCTCTGATCCTGGCTTGTGACCCTGACCATCCCTCTGTCTGACCCTCTGTACTACGCTGCTTGCTACCTGTTCTGATCCCTGGCTTGTGACCCTGACCATCCCTCTGCCTGACCCTCTGTACTGCTCGCTGCTTGCTGCCTGCTGAACCTGCTGCCTGAACCTGACCCCGACCATTCTCCGCTTGCTCCCCCTGTACCTACCTGCCCAATTGATATTGACCCGGCCTGCCTGACGACGCTTGCTTGTATGTACTGTTATCTGTGGGTGGTTGGTTTGGTTTGGTTTGTTTGCACTGTATTATGTTTTAGTATTGCACTGCGTTTATGTTTGTATGTTAGTGTTAATAAATTATATTGTTTATCACATATCTGAAGTCTGCGTTTCCCTGCTTCAGTCACACACCTCTGGTCATACCTGGGAGCCTGACATTACACCAAGGCCAATCCTGACCAGAAGTGGCTGCACAGGGAAGCCATCTTGGCTTGTTGATGGGAAGGATGGATCTTGATGAGGTTGAGTATTTATATCTGCTAGTGTTTGATGACAGGGAGTATGCTTATCAAACTCTGAAGGAGTATACCCGGGATGAACTGCTAGAATGTATACGGCTCGCTCATGTTCTAGTAGATCAGGGCACAGAGTTCTCTGAGGTGCAGCCATTGATTGAGGTTTGTGCTGAGTTGGTTTCATCTGGTTCCCCCGAATGCAGGGATGAATTTTTGCCACCATTTAGTGCAGACCAGGTAGAGTCCCTGGTGTGGTTATTAGAGGATGATGTGGGTTACTTTCTGGAGCGTTATTCCACATGTTCACCACAGACACTAAGAGATTGTATAAACGCAGTGCAGTCATTGACCAGACAGGCTTTGTGTAAGCTCAGCTTTGTTCAACCCATACTGCAGACATGGACAGATTTGTTGCACCCAGCCTCAGTCAGCTTACAAACCCAGTCCTGCTTCTAACTCTACTCCTGTATTCCCACCAGCTCTCTCCAGTTACAGCCCAGTCCTACTGCCCTGCTATCTACCGCATGTCAGTACCCTGTTCCCACTCGCTGCACCTATCCTGCCTTTAACCCTGTAAAAAAGCCCTCTGTAGCAACTGCTCCCTCTCCTGTTCCATCCTCCAGTTCTTCTCTGTCTCCAGCTGCTCCATTCGTTTGCAGACCTGCGTTTACTTGCAGTGCTCCAGTAGTTAAAACCAGAAAAAAGCGAAAATTCTTTCCAACCAATACCATCCTGCCAGTATCCAAACCGGTGAGCCTGCCTTCCGTGGTTCAGCCTGAAGCCTCTACTCGGGTTCCTGAAGCCTCTACTCGGCCTGATGAAGCCTCTACTCGCCTGAAGCCTCTACTCGGCCTGATGCCTCTACTCGGCCTGAAGCCTCTACTCGGCCTGAACTCGCTGAAGCCTCTACTCGGCCCCTGATGCCTCTACTCGCCTGATGCCTCCTACCTCTCGCCTGATGCCTCTACTCGGCCTGATGCCTCTACTCGGCCTGATGCCTCTACTCGGCCTGATGCCTCTACTCCAGCCTGATGCCTCTACTCGGCCTGATCCAGCCTGAAGCCTCTATCAGCCTGCCTCTACTAGGCCAGTTGATGCCCGCTGTTGATCCAGATGATCCAGCCTGACCCGGTGAGCCAGTTGACTCGATGCCCGCTGTTGATCCAATCCTTGACTGATCCGATGCCCGCTGTCCAAATTGACTCAGAGCCCGCTGTCGTACCTGGTGACTCGGTGCCCACTGCCTTGCCAGATGACGCGGTGCCCGCTGTCAAGCCAAATGACCGGAGCCCCTGATGCCTGGTGACCCTAGCTGTCCCGCCAAACGTCCATGCCTGGTGACCCGATGCCCGCTGTCGAGCCAGACAATCCGGTACCTGATGACCCGGTGCCCACTGTCGTGCCTGTTGACTCGGAGCCCACTGCCTTGCCAGATGACGCGGTGCCCGCTGTCGAGCCAAATGACCTGATGCCTGGTGACCCGATGCCCGCTGTCCAGCCAGACGATCCAATGTCTGACCCAGTGCCCGCGGTCATACCAGTTGACTCGGAGCCCACTGCCTTGCCAGATGACGCGGTGCCCGCTGTCGAGCCAAATGACCTGATGCCTGGTGACCCGATGCCCGCTGTCCAGCCAGACGATCCAATGTCTGACCCAGTGCCCCGCGGTCATACCAGTTGACTCGGAGCCCACTGTCGTGCCTGGTGACTCGGTGCCCGCCGCCCGCCTGGGGGCCCGAGACCTGTCGTTCCGCCTGGGGGTCCGCTGACCCAGGGTGCCCTGCGGGTCCGAGACCGCTCGGAGCCCCTGGGGGTCCGGCGCCCCCCCGCCGCTCCGCCTGGGGGCCCGAGACCTGTCGCTCCCCTGGGGGTCCGGCGCCCGCCGCTCCGCCTGAGGGCCCGAGACCTGTCGCTCCGCCTGCTGAGGGCCCGAGACCTGTCGCTCCATGCCTGGGGGTCCGGCGCCCGCCGCTCCGCCTGAGGGCCCGAGACCTGTCGCTCCGCCTGGGGGTCCGGCGCCCGCCGCTCCGCCTGAGGGCCCGAGACCTGTCGCTCCACCTGGGGTCCGGCGCCCGCCGCTCCGCCTGAGGGCCCGAGACCTGTCGCTCCGCCTGGGGGTCCGGCGCCCGCCGCTCCGCCTGAGGGCCCGAGACCTGTCGCTCTCCCGGGGGGGGTCACGATGCCTGTCGCCCACTACCCTGGGGGCCCGGTGCCTGCCGCCCCGCCCGGGGGCCCGGTGGCGCC